TCCAAAAATTCTTTGGATAAAAATGTTACCATAAAAACGCAAACCTATGGAACTAGAAATGTCACAGAAGATGCCGAACCTCCTCCAATTCTTGAGATGGAGGGTCCTGGTGAAACGGTATGTTGGAAAAATTTTGGTTTTTTAGGAATATTGGCGCATTTTAGGCACCAAGCGTGGCTCGCTGTGTAGATGTCCACGGAGATGAAATTACAGATTTTGATGCTGAACAACTGTCGGAAATGGACATGATGCTTTACTCTGGGCATCTGGCTTTAGGAGATTTGGTTCTTACGTCAAGCTTTGGGGTTTGGTCTTCTTTATTAAATAAGTAACGCTCATTCAAGTTCTCAAGTGTAGGAGGAAGTGGAGTACCGCGTTGCTGTTGGGACTCGTCATGGATCTCAGATTGTTCTGGAAAAGATCAAAAAATCTCCTACGCTATCGAAAAGCAAAGGTCGGTCAGCTTGTAACTTTCTGTTATCGTCAAGCGAAACCATTTCTTTAGATTTGAAATTTGTCTTGAGAATTTTTCATAATATTGTTTTCCTAAAATAATTGCGAAATTTCGCTCCTTTTTCCGCGTCACAACATCTTGGCATTGGGACACGTATTTTGATTTTACGAACAATAAGATCACTTTTTCTCCAAAAATATTCAAAAGAAGTTGCTTATCTGGGAAGTCTCTTCTTCCAAAGTTTCCTGCAAAAAATGGTTACCTCACCGAACACAGCAGGTGAAAGGCGCAGAAGTTTATTCCAAAAGAGAAACCAAGAACGCTGGAAAAAAGAACAAGAAATACACGAAGTACCTTTTTGTTCGTAGTGATAGAAATCGGCGTGCAGTTTGCGACATCCAAGATACTGTGTCACAGAAAAGGAACGAGAATTCGTGGTTGACTGCATGAATTCATGTACGCCAGCGTCGTATATTTGCACAGCACGTACATGAATGCGAATGGCATTAACTCTCTTGACGCTGCTGAAGACTACATTAAAGATGGAAAGCGTTTGCAGAATAAGAGAATAAGTCCTTTTCATCTAAGCGATTCGATGAAGGAACTTCAATGAGTTCTGAAACGAATTTGTCGTCCAACACCTTTTTTTGAAGAGACAATTATTTTTTAATGTCGCAACGCTCCTCGATTGTTTTAGATTATGGAGCACGCACTTTCCCTTCCTTTATAGTGGCCTTCATCACACTGACATGAAGATGAATGATGTTTGATTCAAAATTGA